CTACTTGAACCTTCGGTTTCAAACCGTCCATTGCCATGCGATCGACGCCCGTGTAAGCAGGACCGTCACCTGCAGCGAACCTCATTTCCAGAATCTGCCTGTCAGCGTCTGGTCCGGCGGAGAAATGTCGAGTCATAGACGACACAATGACATAAGTGAGCGGCCGTTCTGGACGGAGCTCTGCGATGAAAACTGTCGTGAACGACCTGCCGCTCACGGTGATCATCATTCGGTTTAGCGATCCGCCACAGGGTACCGTAATAATCGAGTTAACGATTAACCTTGGCTCGTATATGGGACCCAACAAAACCTTTTTCGCCTCCTGCCGGGTTCTGGCCAAGACGATCGTTCCGTCTTCAAAGACCGTCTTGTATTCGCCAATATCGTCGTAAAATTCATCCACACATTTCGGTTGCCTCCGCAATACAGTGTAGTAATCTTTCGCGAATCCATAACCGATAATAGCCGCGTTCTCGGTAATCGTTAACGGGTCATCCATCGTAACGTGTCTGGAAATCTCACTGCTGTATTGCCTTTTGAAGAAAATATATACAAAATTGTGTAAAAAAATAATATATTCTTTTCACAATCGTGTATTTTCTTTTTCGAATAGTATATTCCAGTTATCGGATACAATAATCTGTTTATAATAATAACACGGTTGTTGTAGTTTAGTAACGAAATTAATATTGGCCGTCTATTAGTTTTTTTTGATTTTAGTTCTGTTAGAAAGCTTTGTCGATAGTCTTCCGCAGTGGTATGGCAGTGAATTTTCGAAGGGATTGGACGTGCTATAAAAAAAAATAAATTGGTATATAGTCACATATGTGCGACTGGACCACGGGAGTATTGGTACCTTAAAGCTGGATTATTTAAAAAAAGAAAAGAAAATGTCTAGTATATCGAGCTTTAACTCGATGTTTGGCTGAAATATATGTTTTTCAGTATTAAATTACTACTCGCGTATATTGTTTTATTTGCAAGCCAACGAGTGGTGATTTTCTGCACGAAGACGATTCAGTGAATGTCACTGATATTCAACAAACTAATTTATTGCATTTAAAGCATTTAATTGGAAATCCTTTCAATTGTTCAGTTGAAGAGTTAAACTCCAATACGCTTCTTGAAAATCAGACTGTTGAAATTTCTTTTAATAAAACACAATAAAATTAACCCAATATTATTTTGTGATTTGCAGTATATAATAAATCGCCAGGATTGTCCTTAAATGTGATAAAAAAAAAAACTATTTATTTTTTCAATTTGTTATTTATATGATAAATTCTTTGCACACTATGACCAATATTAAAACGATACAATGGAACAGATTAGATGACACACATGGCATGTGCATCAGTATATTTTGAAATTGTACCTCAATGGGAAATATCATGCTAACAACATTCGAAACCAGCCATCACTCTAAATATCATTGAAATTATTCTATCATCATATTATATTAGTTTATTGTGCTTTATTATTAACTACTCATATATTTTTTTTTGGTTGTGGATGCACAAACAATAAAATAAAATCAAAATATATAGTTTAGTAATGTTATTATTCCCACTTTTATTGAGATTATCAATCTTATATTGTAAATACCATATAAAGTAAAAAAGCTATATTGTTTTTTTTTTTTTTTACTTGATAAATCGAAGTTAAGATAACGATAATATACTGTGATAAATATGATTTGAGATTATTGTGAAACGTCTACTATAANAATTTATATTATAACACTTGAAATGCAAATCAAAAACAACGTAGAAGAATACATATTTTTGGGTTAGACATAATACAAATAGAAGGTATTACATGTATGAAACAACCGAATTCGTGCAGATTAGTTGACACCGCAGTTAATGGTCGGGAATTGAGTACCGGCTTAATGAGGCACAACTCCGATGCGAGCCGTATGTTCGTATGTCAAGGTGTGTGAACGCACGATCCAGACCTTTAAACAAATCAAAGACCGTAATGCAGCTTCCCAAAAACCGCCAAAATGCTAAGCACTGGATAGAATAATGTTCCACGTAATGGATAACGCGTTACTGGTGAAAACGTCCTGCGTCCAATGATGGATACCATTTGACGGATCTGACGGTCGGCGTCGATAAAGTTGATGCCGCAGTGCGAGTAGACGTCGATAGGTTCAATTGTATCCACCTTGACACTTAAGCGAACGATAACGGAGACAATTTTGTACATCGTGATAAGGAACGATGTAGGACACAATAAAATACATTTACAATACAACAGTGATTTCAAAATTACAATTACAAAAACTCAAAAAGCATTCAATTAAAATTACAAGCATTTAAAAAAAATATCATCACATAGTATTTTTACAAAGGAAAAGACCATTTTTAATATTTTAAAGGTAATAGGAATTATGGAGTTGTAAAAATTCGTAGGGAACTTGGTATCTAAGGATACATTGAATTAATCCCGGGAAAGTACGAAGTTTGTGAGACCTATCCCACCAACATCCGTCAATAACCGTGTATCAAAATACTCCGATTAAGATTCCAGGAGGTTAGTATTTGTTATCGATATCGGATTGCATATTATCAATTACATTATCGGACAGGGGTTCGTGGATGTTTATACCTTCGGTGGGATTCGGTATAAGATTTATGATTTTAGGTGGTAGATTTTTTTCCACCAAAAGGAGCTGTAAATTATCTGTAGCGTTATTCGTAAGGAAGGGTTCTTAAGAGGTTCGGATATTTGGAGGAAGAACATGGAGCATTATGTGTTTTAAGATTTTGACGGCCATGTGGAATTGTATGTTCTCGGGATTGGTATCGGGAAGGGATTCGAGAAATGTTGAAACTTCAGTAGGATATGGTACAGGTTTTACATTTTCAAGATGTAGGTTATTTTTGGCCAAAGTGGGTTGTAACGTACTGGTAGCGTTAGTCGTATAGAAGGGTTCTTTTGAGGTTCCGATAACTGGAGGTGGTACATGGAGCAGTATGTGTTGTAAGATTTTTAAGGCCATGTCGGATTGTGTGTTCTCAGGGACGGTATCTAAAAGGGGTTTGTTGAGTGTTGAAACTTCGGTGGGATTGGTTACAGACTTTATGGATTCAAGTTGTAGGTTATTTTCAGCCAAAGTGGGCTGTAAACTACCGGTAGCGTTATTCGTATAGAAGAGTTCTTTTGATGTTCGGATATCTGGAGGTGGTACATGAAGCATTATGTGTTTTAAGATTTTAACGGCCATGTCGGATTCTGTGTTCCCGGGTTTGTAATCGGAAAGGGGTTCTTGATATGTTGAAACTTCAGTGAGATTGGGTACAGGTTTTACGATATCAAGTTGTAAGATATTTTCGGCCAAAATGGGTTGTACCATGCCGGTAGCGATATTCAGAGAAGAGGGTTCGATTTCAGGAGGAGGTATATGTAGTATTATATGGTTTAAAATTCTGTGTGATAGGTTGTTGGTAGCGTTATTATTAGGGAAGGGTTTTTGGGAGATTTGGTTATCTAGAGGAGGTATACCGGGCAATATGTGTTTTAAGATTTTTGCGGCGAAATCGGATTGTTTGTTCTCGGGGTCGTTATCGGAAAGAGTTTCGTAGTACGTNTGGAGAAGTATATGGTTTAAAATTCTGTGTGACAGGTTGTTGGTAGCGTTATTTATAGGGAAGGGTTTTTGGGAGATTTGGTTATCTAGAGGAGGTATACCGGGCAATATGTGTTGTAAGATTTTGACGGCGATATCGGATTGTTTGTTCTCGGGGTCGTTATCGGAAAGAGTTTCGTAGTACGTTACTAAATTAAGCGCATGGTATACTTGTCCCTTCGTTTTTACTCCCGCCATTGGCAATCCTGTGTTGGCAGCACAGTCACCTGCTATGAACCTCGTCTCTAGATTCTGCCGGTCGTTGACTGGTCCGGCGGAGAAGTGTCGAGTCACAGACGACACAATGATATATGTGAGCGGCCGTTCTGGACGGTACTCCACGATGAAAACTTGCGTGAACGACTCTCCGTTCACGGTGACCATCAAGCGGTCCAGCGATCCTCCACACGGTACCGTTATAATCGAGTTAACGATTAACCTTGAGTCGGATTTTGGTCGCAACAAAGCTTTTTTCGCTTCCACCCGGGTTCTGGCCCAAACGACGGTTCCGTTTTCGAATACCGTCTGATACTCGCCAAAGTCATCGTAAAACTGATCTATGCATTCCGGTAGCATACGCAATACCGCGTAGTAATGTTCCGCGTATTTGTAACCGATGCTAGCCGCGTTCTCGGTGATCGTGTCAGCCATCGTAACGTTTCCGAAAAAATTACTGCTTTGTTGGGTATTGAAGAAAATGATTACGAATCTGTGTAAAAAAATAATATTTTCTTTTTCACAATCGTTTATTTTCATTGTCGAATAATATATTTCGTATTTTAGATACAATAATATGATTATAATTGTAACACGGTGGATGTTGGTTAGTAACGAAATTGATATTGGCCATCTATTAATTTGTTTTTGTTTTGGTGACGTTTGACCGCGATTTCGATAGTCATTCGCAGTGATGGGTGTTCGAGATTTTTTAGCTGGATTGGACATGGCAAAAAATAAATAAATTGTATAATCGTCATTTTTGTGAGACTTGACTACGGGAGTTTTTAGTAATTTATATCCCAAACAAAAAAAAAAAACAATTAACTAATAATCAAGGTTTAACTCGTTGTTTTGCTGAAATATATGTGTTTCGATATTTAATTACTATTCGTATATTGTTTTCATTTTTATGCTAACGGGTGTAAATATATCTCCTACTCTTCCTTCTTTTCTTTTTTTTTTATTAAAACAATTTTCATTGGACAAACTATATAGATGTAACCAGTAATGGCGCTGCATCATTTACGGGTAAATATATTGGTGCGGTACTATGTATAAAATAAGTACTTAAAGATATTGAATGGACGCCTTGTATACTTCACAGTGAGGCACTTTTGTTAAAAAAAAAATATGAATTTAATGACTTTCGTATTGTAGCTATTAAATGTATTATTTTTTTCAAATCCGGAGGATTAAATAGTAGATTGTTTCACAAACTCTTTTTAGATAAAAAACGAAATTTCAAATTATTATTTCTTCACTCTAAAGTTCGTTGGCTTTCTCGAGGAAAATGTCTATTATATTAATTTTTTGTATTTTATTTTAATTTTAAAATGAACCTAAAATAATCTTTAGATTATTAATATAATTAACAAATAAATATTATATTTCATTATATTACAATTAAGTGATAGAATTGATTATATTACAAATTTATTCATATTACTCGAATTATTAATATTATCTATTATGTATTAGGTAGTCATGGCATATTTGATTTTATTTAATTTTTTTCTTTCCAATGTGGGTCGTATACCCAATATAGAGCAAATGTGTGAATCACTTGACTATTTTGTTCAACAATGATAAACAAACTTGGAGTTTGAAGAAATTTTATGGCGCACGTGGACAAAATTACTTACTAAAAAAAAAAAACCAGCAATAAAAAATCGACCGTTCCATAATATTGTATCTCTCCGGTTTTAGTGATAAAGGGTTTAAGCCAATGTCGTAGTAAAAATTCAATTTAAAACGAAATAATAATTAAAACGCCCGAAATTGACTTGAGCGTTTATCACCCTTCCGACCAACGGATGTGTATTTATACATTAGTAGTTGTGCATACTTGTTCTGAGCGGCGGCGTATACCTGAATTGTATAAGAAAAAAAAAATCGCAAACGACCCGACCCCGTTACGACGTTACGTTCCCACGCCCAAAATAATCGCATTACTGTTTTAACGCGGCGTCGTTATTATTGCAATTTTTTTTTATTATTTTCCTCCGTAACCGTATTGCTATAACGGCCGTCCACGTCGACATCGGTTCCCAATTTTTTCCGTTTTATCTCGACCGCCGTCGTTCGTACGGCGGGCGAGCGTAAATCGCCCCGGGCCCGCGACGTTCGCCCCGCGTCTACGTTGTTGGGCTCGCGAAACATCCGGTCGTGGCGCGACCGAACGGAACCGCCGAAATTCGCCCGCGTCTCGATCGTCAACGGGCCGCACGACGTTTCGCGAGCTGCGCGCGCGACACCCGGCCCCGTCACGACCACAACGATCGCGCAGACCCCGGGCGGGGCGCGTATGGCCCGCCACGCCGATGATCGCCCGTAGGTGCGCCGCCGCGGACGAACGGTAAACGGCGCGTACGCGCCGCGTACGCGGACCGAAAGAGACCGGCCCGCGAAAGACCCCGCCGAAACGCGATAACCCCGGCCGTTTCCCGGCCGCGCGTTTTAACGGCCGTTCGCCAAAGCGCCCGAGTCCGAATCCACCGGCTCTATTGTGTTCGCGCGCCGTTCCCGCGGCGTTACCGTTCTTGTTACGGTGCGCACGCCGGGGCCCGCGCGCCCGGACCGCCGGACTCTGGGCCTCCAATACGCTTCTTGAAATTCAGACTATTGAACTTTCTTGTAATATAACTCAACTAAATAAAACCAATATTAATTTGTGGTTCGCAGTATATAATGAATATCCAGGATTGTCCTTAAATGTGAAAAAAAAAGGACGTAGCAAAAAATATTAAATTGTAATATTCGATTCGGCAACTGGTGTTATTGGTATTTTAAAAGCCAGATATAAAAAAATAACAATTTTTCAAAAATTACTGAAAAAATAACCCTTAAAAATAAAATGCCTCTTACGATAATCACACTAAACATTGTTTCAGTTAGGAGTCGAATAAGATTGGGTCTGCTTTTATGACCATACCTCTTATGCTATAAACTTGCAGTTTCAGTTCTCATCACTGGAGAAGGTGGTTGTGAACTTGAATTCTGGTTTTGATTTTGTGCCCACCCTTTTTATTTCCTCGTCTAGTACTTAACAATTTACAAAATTGATCTTTAGTCAATTATTACTCAACTTTTCATAGGCAGTGATTAGATTAGCGTGTAATTTCGATACATAAATAGGAGGAAAAATTACATAATAGTTGGATTGATTTACTTTCATCAAGATCTTTATGTTTATAAAAAGAGAGAAATTAAAACATTAGTCTTTAATGTAAAATTGTAAACAATTTACTATTAATTAAATTTGTTTGAATGATCCAGTAAGTGTTTCTAAAAATATTAAAGGAATCTCCTTATTGTTTACATATTATAGATTACTGTTAGCTATTCGTTGGGTAAGTACTTACTTACATTTTCCTTAATGTCTTAAGTTTCCTAGCATCATTGTAACATCTAGCAAATCATATTTTTCTTGCAAGATTTCCGTACGGTATTTATAGTTATTCAAGTTTTCTCCATTGAAAGGAGAAACTTTATATTTTTCTACTTCTATTTTACTATAATATGGATCAATACTCGAATGATACAAAATAATTTATACCGAAAAAGTTTAATTCGTGGCACGTAATGCGATGTGAATAATACGAAAAAATCAAAAAAAAATTCAATTATCATAAGGCATAAAATAATAAAATAAAATAGTAGGATATTATAAATAATACAAAAATTAACACATAGTACAATAAGTGACGAGGTTTAAGTCGTAGTGTAACAAAACTTGACAGATTTCAAATGCATCCGAAACAAAAAGATACAAATTGATTAAAAAACAAAAACAAATGTCGTTCATGTTGTGTACATCCAATGTAAAAATGTTATATTTTAATACTAAAATGCCAAACAAAACCAGTGAAAGGGTATCCATATTATTAGGTTGGACATAATACGGATAAAAGTTATTACAGGTATAAGACAACCGAAGACATGCAGATCAATTGACACCGAAAATAACGGTCAGGAATTGAGTACCGACTTATTGCGGCACAATACCGACGTGAATTGTATGTTCGTAAGTCAATGTATGTGCACCCACGATCCAGACCGTCAAACGCCTCACAGACCGTACTGCTGCATCCCGAAATCTGCCGAAATGCGAAGGGCTGGGCAGAATAATGATCCTCGTAAAAGATAACGCGTTACAGGTGAAAACGTCCTACGTCGTATGCTGGTTATCACTTGACGGGGATTACGGTCGGCGTCGATAAAGTTGATGATGCCGCGGTCCGAGTAGACCTCGATAGCTTCAAACGGACACGCCTTGAAACTTAAGCACACCAACATGGAGACAATTTTGTACATCCATTTGTACCTCGTGACAAGGGACGATGTAAGACACAATATAAAACGTATAATAAACAATAGTGATATCAAAATTACAATAACAAAAAATCTAAAAGCATTCAATTAAATTTACAAGCATTAAACAAAAATATTATGACATAGTATTTTTACAAAGGAAAAGACAATTTATAAATTCTCTAACGGTTATAGGAAATGTGGAGCCGTAAACATTGGTAGGGAACTTGGGAACTAAAGGTACTTTGAATTAATTCCTGGAAAATTGTGAGGTTTGCGGGACATATCCCACCAACATCCGTCAATAACCGCGTATCGAAATACGCTGTTTAAGATTCTAGGAGATGAGTTCTCCTCATCGATATCGGGTTCCATAACATCGGTTACGTTATCGGGCACGGGTTCGCGGAAATTTGAGTTTTCATTGGGAATGGGTACGGGTTTTAAGATTTCAAGTTGTAGGTTTTTTTCGGCCACAGTGGGTTGTAAACTACCGATAGCGTTATTCGTATAGAAGAAATCTTTTGAGGTTCGGATATCTGGGGGAGGTACATGGAGCATTATGTGTTTTAAGATTTTGACGGCCATGTGGGATTGTGTGTTCTCGGGGGCGGTATCGGGAATGGATTCGTAAAATGTTGAAACTTCGGTTGGATTGGCAAGAGGTTTTACGATTTCAAGTTGTAGGTTATTTTCGGCCAAAGTGGGTTGTAAACTACCGGTAGCGTTATTCATATAGAAGGGTTCTTTTGAGGTTTGGATATCCGGAGGAGGTACATGGAGCATTATGTGTTGTAAGATTTTGACGGCCATGTGAGATTGTGTGTTCTCGGGCTTATAATCGGAAAGGGGTTCGTGAAATGTTGAAACTTCGGTGGGATTGGTTACAGGTTTTACGAATTCAAGTTGTAGGATATTTTCGGCCAAAGTGGGTTGTACATTGCCGATAGCGATATTCGGAGAAGAAGGTTCGATTTCTGGAGGAGGTATGTGGAGTAATATGTGGTTTAAAATGCTGTGTGGCAGGTTGTTGGTGGCGTTATTCGTAAGGAAAGTTTTTTGGGAGGTTCGGATATCTCGCGGAGGTATACGTGACAATATGTGTTGTAAGATTTTTGCGGCGATATCGGATTGTGTGTTATTCGGGTCGGTATCCGAAAGAGTTTCGTAGTACGTTGCTAATTTAGGCGCATAGTATACTTGTTCCTTCGTTTTTAATCCCGCCATTGGCAAGCCCGTCTTAACAGCACAGTCACCTGCGGCGAACCTTGCGTCCAGAGCCTGCCGGTCGGTGAGTGGTCCGGCGGAAAAATGTCTAGTCAAAGACGACACGATGATGTATGTGAGCGGCCTTTCTGGACGGTGCTCCATGATGAAAACTTGCGTGAACGACTCTCCGTTCACGGTGACCATCAAACGGTCAAGCGATCCTCCACACGGTACCGTAATAATCGAATTAACGATTAACCTCGAGTCGGATATGGGTTGCGTCAAAGCCTTTATTGCCTCCTGCCGGGTTCTGGCCCAGAAGACGGTTCCGTTTTCGAATACCGTCTTATACTCGCCGAAATCGTCGTAAAACTGATCTATGCATCCCGGTAGCGTACGCAATACCGCGTAGTAATGTTCCGCGTATTTGTAACCGATGCTAGCNGTTTCCGAAAAAATTACTGATTTGATGGCTATTGAAGAAAATGATTACGAATCTGTGTAAAAAAAAATATTATTTTCTTTTTCACAATCGTTTATTTTCATTGTCGAATAATATATTTCGGTTTTTAGTTACAGTAATATGATTATAATTGAAACACGGTTGATGTTGTTTAGTAACGAAATTGATATTGGCCATCTATTAATTTGTTTTGTTCTGGTTACGTTTGACCGCGGTTTCGATAGTCAATCGTAGTTGCGTGGCCGGGAATTTTCGGCAAGAGAGGACGTAGCATAAAATGTCAAATTGTAATATCGTCTTTTCTGTGCGATTTCGCAGCGGAAGTTATTGGTAATTTAAAAGCCAGATCTTTTCAGCATAAATCATTAAAACCTCTAGATTTTGAAATTATGAGTAATTTAGTTACATTAATATTTTAACATTGAGAATTGCATTGTAAATGACTAAATTTTTTTTTTTTTTAATTGTCTAACTCTAAAGATTTTTTTTTGTCATCAGGATTTTTGAATACCGAAAGCATTCTACTACATCGACGAATTAAACCTAGGCCTTTTTAAAACAGACCAAACATATTTTATTTTTTATAGTTTTTGGTTTAAATTGTGTGACATACGGACCCTCCCGACCTAGTTCAAGGAAAGATCACATTATATAATTATAATTTATACGATCAAAATGTAAATAATTTTAATTTAAACAGTATTTTGGTTGTTTACTGAATAAACGTCGACGGAGGAACATTGATAAAATCACAAATTATCGAAAAGTTATCTAAAAGGATAAAATGGAAGAAATACCCTAAAACCAAATTAAAATAACGTCTAATTATGCATTTATATGCAAAATAATATTTCGAATCTACCTTCGTAAACGCTTGAAACGTAAACTATTTTTTTATTGTACTCAGCCGCTATTTTTGTGGTTCTGCAAATCAAATATGCAAATGCTACAAGAACCCCGCCTTAGTGATTGGTAAGTCGATCCCTGTGTATTGCGGGTGTACGTTTTAAGAAGGTCGTTGTCGTTACGGTTGCGCCACGTCTAAATGTGCCCAATAAAACATATTATAATATGACGTGCCTATATTATCTCGAGAACCAAACGTAAAACGTTTTTTTTATCGGTTAACCTTATTAAACGGGGTTTAAATACGGCCTGGCTATAGAAAAATCGACATCGTATATTATAATGATATAAAACGTGTATTATTTTATAGGCGTACGTATTATAATATACGTTTCACGAAGTCGTTTTTTTTTTTTTTTATTATTATTATTTTAATACTCTGGTGTAATCCCGTTTTATGTTTGAGCATCGTCGACTGTGTATATTCGGGCGTTTTATAATAATATGTATACGCGCATTATAATTTACTTCGTGCGACGTACTATACGCGTATATCTAGGCGCATAATATTATAGGCGTGTACAACTTATATTGCGGCGTACTCGCGGACATTTATCAATTAACAAAGTAAAAAAAAAAAAAAAAACCCGTACATAAAACGGACACTGTCGAGAAGAAGACGTTTTTAAAAAAAAAAAAAAAACGTTTTTATTGCCGTTACATATTTTACTGTACTCGTCTCGCGTGCAATAAAACGTTTATAAATCGGCCGTTAAAATCGTTATTACGGTACGGGACAGAAACGGTTTGAATCGATAGCGTACAACAATATAGTATATAATATGGCGCGGTTGTAAAACTATAATAATTTTTATATCGTCTTAATAAAAACAAAAAAAAAATTGAAAAACCCCGACCATATTTCGGTATCCGCGGGCGAGCCATCGCCGTAGGCGGAAAGTCCGGAACGGGCGATAAGCTGCGGGTTTTTGAAAGCGATAAGGATTCGACATGATTATTTGTGATTCGGTAACGCGGCCCGGTAGTGTATTGATAACGTACCGCACGCGAAGTACAATTACTATACCCGACAAAATCGGCATTTATTTTCGATTGATTTTCCGCAATTATACAATAAAATAATGTTATCTCCGTATTGGTGTTTATGGTATTCAATTATTACACATTTCATTGCAGTTTACAATTATGAAAATTAGGCTTTCGGAACGTTATCTTTTATCCTTGTCATTAGTGTCGGACGACTGCTATAACTCCGTATAAGTATACGTTAAAAATAGCTTTGCTTTTAAATATTCGAAACTAAACAAAATGGCGAATCAATGTTCATAGTGACGCACAAATCAAAGCAACGTATAGCGACGTTCTCGTTATCGTATGTTTATTTAATTTTTTACGAAAAACTATTAGGCATTTCGAAAAAAAAATGTTCAAATAATAAGCACCGTCTACCGAGATATTCGTCAATATGTATGTTTGGTTTTAAAAATCGGAGCAATTTTTGCCGGCCGAAAAAGCGTTTTCCGAGGAATAAAAAACAACACACACGGTTTAGTAAGACTACAAAAGCTTTTGCGTTACACTTCAGAATTTAACATTAAAATTCATATAAAGAATGCATATATCATGTTATATTTTATACTGGCGGGAGGTCCAGGTGATCTGCCCCTCCCACCAACAGACACCGAAATAGTGTCGATAAAACTTCGTCTAAACAGTAGGTATCTATTAATAGATACATTTAAATTACATATAATTTTCCAGGACCCTTCCTGGAAAAATATTAAAAATCCGCCACTGCTTCGGCAATAGATTAGTACGATCGTATTATTGTTATTGTTATCATTACTGAGCGCGTTTATTTTTTAATTCGTTTAGTTACCGTCAGTGGCGTGTAACGGCTTATTTTTCTTTTTCTTTGGAAGTAGGGTGTGCATTTACACGGCCAAGGCAAACCATGCCCATTAACATTACAGAAGATACATTTGTGTGGCTTTCTCGGTAGAAGTCGTAAACAATTTCACACCCCTCCACCTCTCCCGCCATGAATACGCCACTGATAATCGCGACTCGTTTATAATTTTTGCAACGTGTGGCAGTGTACAGTTTTAACGGTCCGCGTGTTCGTTTCGAAACCCGGCTAGCTGTTTATGTAGGTATACCGGGAAAGACAAACCCATAAAATACATAATAATAATATTTTTTAAAAATAATCAAGCGAAGTGGAACTCTTGATGTCGCGGCGTAGGTACCTATAATACCTATGTAACAACCGGGTCTGTTTGTCTTCAAGTGCTATAATTTAACCTCCCAGGGGTGTAAACAAACAAGGACGTGGACGTTTTTGTCGTTATTTAGATCCGTAGGTATACACTTTTGAAGCGTTAAACCGTGGCGCAACAAGTTTTGAACGGTAAATTACGACCTTTTAAACGTCCGATCCGTCCGGGTTTTCGGAATTTTATGGCCCGACGCTGGCCTTAAAATCTGAAAATTATACGCGTATACCTGTCACGGAACACGAGAATATAATAACACAAATAAATTAAAAACCGTAAATCGTTGAACATGCAGTATACATTATATAATATATACGTATAGGTATTTTAATAATATTGTAAATCGTTTCGTTTCGAATTTCGGTGAACATTCTATACAGGGGAAAAAAATGATTTCATTAAAAACTGACTGGAAATACTGATTTGTGGTCATTAATTCGACGATAGGTACAACCATATAAAATGTAGTGTATTTTATGTACGTTTTCCCGTATCTTAAAAATACATTTCGTATAAAATTGTCGTTTTCAAATTAAATAACGTAACTACGTTCATTTTGTTTTAATTTTCACTAAACTATATATTATGATATTATATAATTCGTTTATCCGTCGTGTTTTTTTTCTCGACTTGACAACTTCAAAAAAAAAAAAAAACCAATAGAAACGATTCTTTTAATTTATGGGAATAAATAAATAAAACCGTATAACATATGCACTCGTCACCGTGGACCAACGTATATAACGACAATGTGTTTTTGTAAATTTGACAAAGTCGGGGAACGTTATTAATTTATACAAACGGTTATCATTACAATATTTTCGATTGAGGGGCCCGATGCCGGTTTTTCATATTTTCTCCAATTTTGTAAAAATTTAAAATTTTTTTTTAACATTTCAATTACCACCTTAAAGACAGGATTTTCCAACTCATTTACCTCCCGATACCCATTTGGGTAAAACGTGTGGGACTGTTTTTACTGACGAAAATGACTCCACGGAAATAGTGGGTAACACCGATAACTCATTGTCAATTCGATATTTTTTTTAAAAAATTGTTTCCATTGATAAACAAGAAAATTCTACTACCCCATTGAACTCCGAATTCAAATAACAGAATAAAAAATGGTAAAAAAAAGCTTAACATTTCCTTTTTTAAAAGGCCCATTAAAAATATTAAGAATAAAATATTGAAAAACGGAATTTAATGCGATCCGTAAAATGTTTCCTTCTATTCATTAAACATAAGAAAATTAAATTTAGTTGATTCTATTGAACAGTCTTACTTTTTCCGTAGACTGTAATTTTTTTCACAAAACGACATTAGTACCGGGCGCTTTTTAATAATAACTGCAATAATTGGGTATATAATATTTCGACGCGATGATATAATTGTAAATATTTTTTTTAAAACCGGAGCATTGTGTTTTTTTTTTTTTTTTAAATATATTTAGGCGTATTGTTTGTGGACGATTGTGAACTGCCACAAAATTGTCTTTTTATTTAAATGTCTGCGAATACGACAAAAAATGAACAATACAAACTGCTATAAAACAGCTAAAATGTACACTTTACAATCTGCGATAATTTTTATATTGT